GAGGGCCAAACTGGGTGAGGTCTACCTGTCGACTTGCATCGACAACAGCACTGGGGACTGCTGGCACTCGGAGTGCATGAATGCGCTGTCGACTGCAGTCGACAGGAGCAGTGAAAGGGTTAAGACTAAAATCCGAGCATTTGGAGCGAGTTTGAAAATTGAGTGAAGTCACTATTGCCATAAGCAAATTTACACATACGCTCAGCTTCACGCACACTGGTTCAGTACCCCCGAGTGCTGAAACGATTATATCGATTACTCGTTACTTACTTGATAAGAAATAGATCGAGCGGTTATTTCGATTTTATCAGCTAAACGAGTAGAATGGTACTTACGCTCGGTTCGGGATTTCCCCCCTTTTGGGGGGGGGGGGGGGGTTGCACAAAGCGTTCATGCACCGAAAGTGTTGCAAGTACGAGACGAATATGTACATGACTGTACACTTGCAACATCGATGTATGTGTAAAAGTACAAGCGCGATCTGAGAAACATCGACGCAATCACTGTCGCCATCTTTTCAGCTGACTACTTTTCTTACATACAGCATGCAGGACTGGCAGGCTCAGTTTGTGTCTACACTAGATGCAGGGGCTGGAGTTCCCTCCACGTGCGATTAGTCTTGAGCTAAAGACAGTAAAGTGGTCTTCAGTTTCGTGTTTTCCGTTCTGTCGACGGTTCTCGAATCAGTTTGCTCGACGACAAGCTAGGCCTGGCGTCTAGGCCTGTTTTGAGCATAGACAGGAAAAGCAACTAGTTACTTGTTGGCGCGCCTCAAGTCAGCTCATCTGGCGAAAATCCACCGATCTTCACCCCTGGCCGGCTTCTTTGACTTCATCGCCGAAGTCAGCGAAGTCACAGGCGAAAGGCAGCACCAGCTCTTGGGTTGCAACCAGCGCGTCGCCTCTGTCTTGTCTGTATTCGTCTGGTCAGTCCGAACAGCTGACGGACTTGTTGCGAGATCATCGGATCTATGCACCCGCTTTCCGTCGTTGGCGATGTTGGACTCGTAAATTTTTAGAAATTCACAGAATGTACGTTGTACTGATGTACATGTAGGTACAGTAATAGTCGTTTAGCCGATAAGCCGATCGTTATGGTATCAGCTAAGGCACTAAGGAAACGTAATCGTTTCAGCACTAGAACTTGTCAATGGTCGCTGCCTTTGCATCATATCTCTTTCATGGCATGCCAGGGAAGGCCGAGAAAGTAATCGTGACTAATTTCACGGCAGTTTGTGCGCAAACCAGTCCCTCAAAAATCCATCACGATGTTTTTATTTACGGAGTAAGTAGATGGAAAACCACTCGTTTGAAGGGCTACCTCCCGCCTGGCTATCCCCCTTTGAGGGAGATCTCCCGACCAAAGAGAAAATGAAATTGGCAGCTCTGAAATGGATGAACTGCAACCACTGCAACTGCTTGTGGCTTAGCACCACAGCACACACCGTGTTTTCCGGTGTGTTGGCTGCACCTTGAATTGCATCCAAAAATCGTCCTGCGGCTTATAATCCGAATGCTGGAAGTGAATCAGCCAGCTCTACAGCGCTCCGTGCATATAATGAGTGTATGATGTCATTCGACAGTTTTCATGTACTGAAATCCATCATTCCACTTGCACAAAGCTTCTACATGTCAGTTCAGAGTGAAGGACAAACTAGGCCCCTTTTTACCATAACCTCAGTTGTTCTTCATAAATTGTTAAGTATGTATGTATGCATGCATGTATGTATGTATGCATGCATGCATGTATGTATGTATGCATGTACCAGTACCCATTAAGTTAGATTGTCAAAAAGGTAAAAGTCTGACGTATGGCTCAGGGCATAGATTAACGGTCGGACATCGGACATTTTCCGGCCATTTTCGGCCACTGACCGGACGTTTTCAATTTCACCGGACATAGTGCCCGATCAAAAAAGGAAAAAAAGAGCAGCGACCTTTCGACCTTTTTAATTTTATGCAGAGTTGGGCTTTCTTCGGAGCTTCGTGCCAAATGCGACTTGCATATCGTACAACTAACACATCTACACCGTAGCCTCGATCCCTCAGGCGTAGACTTCACCATAATCCGCCTGAAGCAACGCGGTTGCTACAGTCAATTCACACTTTCGACCTTTGGTACGACTTCGCACCTGAATCCTGGGGTTGAACTGCAGTGCAGTTGTTCGCTCTTGAGAGGAAGATGTCATCTTTTATTTTTCACTCTTTCACTGACTGGGAATGCAGATATTCTTTTAGAATGTCTTCTGGAAAGCGAAAGGGAGATTCAGAGGACTTGCCGCCGGGCAAAAAAGTCCGTGGTGTGAAGGCCGCTACTTGCAATAAGTGGATCTCGGACAATGATGCAGAGCCGACTACTTCCGCCTGGCTGATTTATGACCGGCAGAAGAACGATCGGCTGTAGCAGAATGTTTGAAGTGTTCCGTGTGCATCAAGTTTGTAGACAGAGTCCGCAGTTGTAAAAACTTCAGTGAGGCTTTCATAACCGGATCCAAGAACCTGAGAACATCAGCGTTCAAAGATTATGCTGGAACGGAGATGCATAAACGAGGAATGAATCTTTTCCGCAGGCAAGAGTGTCCCGCTCGAAATGCCCTCGAATTCGCTCCAATTGCGAAGGCACTGTGCGAGATGGACGATGGTGCTGCCAGTATTGCACGACGCAAATTCGAACTGACTTACCTTCTCTGCAAGGAGCATATCGCGTTCGCAAAATTCCTGACTGCAACGCTTTTTTGTACATACATTTGTCGTCAGTAAATAGTTCAGTTTCCAATACAAATAAATTGGCGAATTGTACATAGTAATGTGTGAGATATGTCCACATAATGAGTCATTGTGAATATACTTCAGTACTACCAAAAAAAAGAAGAAACACCCTGAAAAAGTGTTGTGGAAAATGTCCGGGCATGTCCGGACAGATTTCAAAATGGAAGGACATTTGTCCGAGCTAAATGAAATCCTTAAGCTATGCCCTGTGGCTTATACTTCACAACAAAAATACGAATTTTGGGACTGAAAAGCGGCACGTAGCTTAGACCCTTGGGGCTGGGGAAAACGAATGTTGCAATCGACCCGTGTCTTATCCTGTGCATCAAGCACTAAATGTTGTACCGTCCGACTTTTTAGGATATCACCGGACATTAACCCATTTCATACTTGGCCCCTTTTCTCCTGTGGAGAAAAGGGGCCACACACGTTTGACGTTTTGATGCCCATCGCTGGAGGCGATGATAGCGATGCTACAGCCGAAGCCATAGTAAGTTGTGCTGGGATGGCACCATTCAACAGCTTGCATGGCTGAAGAATTGACCGCCACTATTCAGCCTGGTCTACACCACACAGCTATGAAGTGGTTTTTCTGGCCAGTGAATCCCTGCTTTTGGTCTTTTTCATTTTTTCCATACACACATCCACATACTCTGGCATATACTGGCTGTTGGTACCCACCCACGAGAATGAAAGAAAAGTCAAGATTTGAGAACGAGAAGAAAGACGTGTGTGACCATAATCGTCTGGAATCGAACCCGCAACCTCTCGATTGGAAATCGCTGCACATACCACTGCACAGCCACCCTCCCTCCCTCCCTCCCCCCCCCCCACACACACCTATGGACGTTTGGATGCCCATTGCTCGTGCAATGATAGCAACAGGAGTTGCAGTAATTCCTCTGGCGAGTTAGATCGTTGGGCAAACGGGAGTTCCTGCCACAGCCGCAAATGAACACTCTAGGCTTTGGCACAGCTGGCCGGGGTTGGTTGCACATGAGGCGCCAGTTTCGTCTGTCCTGCGCCAAGTCGCACCAGTCACCTGTCACGCACCGAGCACTCAGATCAGCAGCAGCGATGTGAGTCCAACGTTTCTTGGCACTGTATCTGGGCCTTGTGTTGAGTCCCTCAGCAAACAGGACACGCTTTGGGAGACGGGAATCCTCCATTCGCCCAAGGTGGCCAAGCCACACACACACACACACACACACACACACACACACACACACACACACACACACACACACACACACACACACACACACACACACACACCATGCACAAGCACACATACACACACACACACAAACACACACACACATATACACACACACACACACGTGCACATACATACACACACACGAGCACACACGTGCACACACACACACACACACACAAATGCATGCATGAGCAGGCGCGAAATTTAGGTCTGTGGGTCCTGGCTATGCCAATCGTCTACTCTGTCTAGCATAACTTGGGGAACGAGAGAGCTTGGAAGCTCAGGGCCCTACGCTATGCTTTTTTGCCTAGCTCATCATGCATGTTATTAGAACTGATGGAACTTTCTCTTTGGCCCCAACTTCGTTGCGGTCTTATAGTGTTTTTCGTCAACCATGACGGCTACAATGCCCAACCATACCACAACAAGCTGATCGGCTACATCATTGTATTGCAAAAAGTTTCCATCTGTTCGAATAACTTAACATGCATGATGAGCTAGGCAAAAAAAGCATAGCATAGGGCCCTGAGCAAAAGAAATAAACTTTCCCTTTGCATTCGAGGGTAATACGACACCGTCTACCACCTTGATGACCTAGGCAAACAAGCATAGGGATGTTATCAGTTTTTCATGAGAGAGATATTTCCCCTATTTTCTTTTCAAGACATATCCCGGGATTCGAACCTGCACTATTGCCCTGCATGCATTCCCCCCATACACTTCGCATACATACTCATTCTTCCAAGTTGCTTCACGTTATGATCTTGCATTTGACAGTCCTATTTGAATATTGTGGCCAGTTGTCTTTGATGGTACGGTACGGGACAGGTACGGCATAGCGCCAAGCATGCCGATGGCACAAACAAACAAACACGGAATTAATGCTGCGTGGACCCTGGCTAGCGCGAGACGTTACTGAAGTAACGTCTTTTGCATAGGTACGGGAATAAAAGTAAATTGATCAACTCATTTCTGGTGTTGTGTGTGTGCTGTGTTTCTGCCTGGCAACAAAGAACGAAATGAAGAAAGAGGAACTTCGAACTGGTGGGTGCCAATCCGTCTGCTAGATTTTAGGAACTTCTTCGTAGTAATGGTTTTTGGTTATCAAAGTCTTCACGTATGAGATATTAGAGAAAAACAAAGACAGAGATTGTGACAGAGAGAGGGAGATAGATAGATAGCTCATGTGGGGTAGTGCCTTTGCTGTTTGTGTTATGCAGAGCTCACTGATTTGTCAGTTTGAGCACTCTGGCAAGGTTCGTTTGGGCCTGGTTTTAATCTGGCTTTGGAAATTTTATTCTCCATTGCTTCCAGGGCCGGCCTCGTTTTCTCTGTCCTGCGCTGATGAGTCCACAAAGGACGAAACAGTTCTGCCCGCAGATTGATTAGATAGATAGATAGATACAAAGGAGTAATTTTGGAAATTGCCGGCAACCATAATTATAGCGTCTGTGTGATACTGGCGTTATTCGTGAATCGTGTAGAGTAATATCAATTTAAGTGCCAAGTATCACACATGATCATATTCATAGTGATTAGTCTCAGGTATTAGTATCAGTCGTCTGATTGCAATAGCATGAAACTTTGAGTTATGCCCAATGCTGTATGCTGTATAGATAGAGACAAACGAAGAGACAAACAGACAGAGAAAAGGGGGGGGGAGGGGCGAACAGGAAGAGAATAGAAGGAAGAGCAAACGGGGGGGGGGGGGGGGCTCTCAATTTCTTTTGTGACTGGTAAACTCTGTTGTACTTGAGACATTCTACCATTTCCCCAGGTATCACATGTACTAATGATTGTTGCTGCTACTGCTGTTGCTGCTCTTCTTGCTGCTACTGCTGCTGCATTATTATTGTTTATTGCAATGCAGCTGCTGTGGCTGAGGACATCATTGGTGGCAAGGACGAGGCCAGTGTGGTACGCGTGCGTATGTACCTTGTCGGCAAGTACGCCACAGGAAAGTCCAGCTTTGTCCGGGCACTGCTCGGTGAAGAGTTCATTGAAAACGCGGACAGCACTGACTCCATTTCCATCCATCGATCCAGACTCAGAATGCATCTCTCCTCTCAAACCGCCACAGGCACGCAAGAGGCAGCACAAGTTCTTGTGGATGACAGTCAACGTAGTTTCTTTGTCAATCTACTCACAGCTCGCATCCGATCATCTGTAGATCTGGTCCAGAAGATCAAGAAACGTCCGCAAGAATCGATCTTGTCCAAAGTCAAGACACTGTTCACTTCACGACTCACTTCGTCATCCACTGCCTCCGCTACCGGCACCAGAGCATCTGCTGCATCCGCGGTCAACAATGAGTTTGCCAATGTTCCCCACGCTAATGACCTAACCAAAGTGGCACCAGATGTTATCTCTCAAGTTCGCTCGTCTGTCAGCAATGTCGATAACAGTTCAAATGAAGCGGAAGCAGCATATGCGTTTGTTGAGCTGTGGGACATGGGTGGACAGATGCCGATGTTGGTACAACAAAGCATCTCGTTTTCAGTTTGTGACAGCGTGTACATTGTGACTGTTGACATGAGGTGTGACCTGGAAGAGGAGGTAACGGAAGACGTCTACCGCTTCGATGGTCAGGAGATTGTAACTTCCACACCGTTGCCAGGAATGACGCAGGCTGACTACCTTCACATGTGTCTGTCACTGATTGCTTTGCAGCATAGAGCAGACACACACCCTGACCAGCATCACCACCAGCAGCAGCAACAGCAGCAGCAACAACAGCAGCAGCAGCAGCCGCAACAGCAGCAGCAACAGCAGCAGCACCAACATCAGCAGCATCAGCATCAGTCAGACACAGAGCCGGGTAAGACCAGTAGCAGCAATAGCAGCCACCATCATGATGAGAGTAGCACAGCCATCATGGTTGTTGTTACACATGTGGATCTTGTCGACGACGACCAAATAGAGAAGAAGAAGGACATGTTCTTCAATGCCGTGTCCAAGCTGGCTGAAAGGGCCGGACCCAACGTCAAGGTCTGTGGACCCTTCTTTGTTGACAATCACCGTTTTGAAGATCGCGTATCTCGCCACAGCCAGCTTGCTGAAGCACAGCAAGAGCTCTCTAGAATTGTGTCAGCCTTTCCTGTCCAAGCAATTCCCTTGATGCAAGTGAAGATAGAAGAAGCTATTTCTCTCCACCAAAAGGAAATGCTTCGCTATGCAAGGGCTGGGTGCAGTGATGATGCAATGCAAGCTACCAGTAGTGATCAGCAGCAGCGGCAGCAGCAGAGTTTTGTTAGTATGGACTACCCACAGTTTGTAGACTTTTGTCGGCATGTTAGCGGCAAAGATCTCAACACTGCACAAGTGTCTGATCTACTGCACCACCTTCAGCAACATGGCACAGTGTTTTGCTGTGACTGCCCGCATCCACTCACTTCAAGTGTCATTTTCCTTGAACCCCAGCAGCTGTTACTCAACTTTGTACGCTTGATGACCTTCCCTCTGAAGGAGACAGCTTTTCCAAGCACCTCAGCAACATTAGTCAGAGAAGTGCAACACTTTCGACGTACGGGAATTGCCAGCGCGAGGTTGATAGAGAAAGTTTGGTATCCTCTCAGCCGTGTTGTCCAGCTAGCTCTCTGCAAATCCATGTGTTACTTCAACCTGGCAGCAGAACTTCAGCCCGCCAGCAGTGCAGCCACCAGCAGTACAGATACCAGCAGTACAGCTACCAGCAGTACAGCCACCAGCAGTACAGCCACCAGCAGTACAGATACCAGCACCGGAGGGTGTGGCAGTAGAGTCGGCGGCAGCAGCAACAGCAGCAGCAGCAGCAGACAAGACAGATGTCCAGTTGTCACGTCAGGCCTACCCGACCTCTTCATCCCGTTCTGTTGCAACCAGGAAGCATTACGGTTGGTTTTGGAGGATGATGTTCCCTTTAAGCTACCGTTTAACCACCTCAGTTTCCCTGGGATGCTGTTTCCTCCACCACTGTTCGGTCGCTTAGTCACCTACATAATTCATCGTATGAAGAAAGAGTCAGCCAGTCTTCAGTTCACATCCAGTGCGGTATCACTGAATTTGGAGGTTGGTTGTGGTCAAGTATGCCTCTGCTGGACACCAACAGGTGTTCGCTTAGAATGCGCTGCTGATACACCATCCATACTTGCTGATGTGGCTTGGGATATGAAGAGTGCAATTGTTGACTTCACACAAGTTCTCAGCAGCCAAGGGTACAAGCAGTTCACAGTTGTTGGTGAGTCATTTGTCTGCACTTCCAACTCATGCCAGGATCGCCTGAAGGAATGCAGCAGTCCTGCAGAGGTGCTGGTACACTCGTCGTGGGTGTTGCTGACCAGCTTGCACAAGAAGCATTTCTTGACGGCATACGAGTCGGATATGAACACCGCTCTGACCTTCAAGGCAACGTGTGCTACCTGCAAGGAGAGGGTCATTGTCCCGAGGTCCTTCTGGCCCTGGCTGCGTAAGGATGTGCCATTTGTCCAAGCTGAGGTGAGTTGTGAAGATTTTCTTCCACTGTCTTGTATGGTTTCAGCATACACTTGAAATGTCGAGCTGCTAGGATAGATACTTTGCTGCAATATCTACACCATCATGTGACTGTGATCATGTGACTGTGATCATGTGACAGTGCTCGTGTGACAGTGATCATGTGACCGTGATCATGTGACTGTGATCATGTGACTGTGATCATGTGACTTTAATCGTGTGACGGTGAGGATTTGACTGATCAAGTGACCGTGTGTCGTTTATTAGTTTTCATTATTTCTTCATGGAGAAGTAGTTTCTTTTCAGCAATACTAAATAGAATTCTACTTGAAGAAAAAGCTAGCATAGAATTGCAATGCACTACGAATGGAGGATAATTATTATTTCACGGTATACGTCTGTGGAAAGTGCCTGACTGAACTTTTCTCTTGTTTGTGTTTCTTGCCTGCATATCTTCGGATTTCTAAAACGATTTCAGCAGCCACTAGCAACAGCAGGAGCAGCAGTGCCACCAGCAGCAGTGCCACTAGCAGCAGCAGTGCCACCACCAGCACCAGTGCCACCACCAGCAGCAGTGCCACTAGCACCAGTGCCACCAACAGCAGCAGTGCCACCACCAGCAGCAGAGCCACCAGCAGCAGCAGCAGTGCCACAAGCAGCAGTGCCACCAGCAGCAGTGCCACCAGCAGCAGTGCCACCACCAGCAGAACTGCCACCAGCAGGAGCAGCAGTGCCACCGGCAGCAGCAGTGCCACCAGCAGGACAATCAGCAGCAGAAGCTGCATTAACTCTGCCATCACCATCATCACCAGCAGCATCAGCAGCAGCAGTAGCAGCAGCAGGATTAGCACCCGCAGAGGCAGTTTCATGCCAACGGTCAACATCACCGTAAGCACATAGACTTGTTGTAATTCAAATCATGTGTACATGGTACAGGTATTGCTTCACACCTGATCTCAATTCTACCTTTCATATGCTAATAGCAATGTTACTCAAAGTCCCAACCACTATTTTTGCAATGTTACTGGAAGTAATGCCATCATAACGAGGTGTTCTCTTGCTTGTGTGTGTGTGTGTGTGTGTCTGTGTCTGTAATGTCTGATTTAGGGAGAAGCTTGCACCAGAAGATGGTTTAGCAAAGGTACTCCAACCAGAGCTTAACACTAACCAACCATGTAAGTCACTTCAACACTACCGAATAATATTGATTTCTACAAATATATGCATAGTGGGATATGCAAATAGTGAACTATAACTTATGTCACCTTTCGCGTGAAACTAAGTTAGTCTGAGTTTTTCACAACCACAGGATTGCCACCGCCCGGTATGACTAAGGCGCAGATGCAGCTCATAAAGCGGTAGAAGATGAATACATCTGAGCTAGCAAACAGACTGAAAACCTCATTAGCCCTATCCATGCTTCCCTTGTGCCAAGCCGCCAGCTTACAATTAACTACGCGTATGGGTTGCGTCACGGCTGGAAACATCCTTACACTTGACTTCCAAGCAGGACATAAACTTGGATGTGTGTATGAACATTCATGCATTCTTACGAGTTGACATATACATACAGT